GCCAGGACTAGTCACAGACAGTGTCTGACAAAGGCCTACACCAGCATCTTTGCAGATCTACCTAATACACAGAAACAAGTACAAAGAAGCAGCCAAAATGGGAAGATAAAGAGACAGACCTCAAATGAAAGAACAAGAGAATTCTCCAGAAGAGCTAGATGAAATGTAGGCAAGCACTTTATCAGAGAGAGAGTTTAGAGTAATGATTATAAGGATACTCAATAGCATGAAAAAAGACATAGGAACCATAATAAAGCACCAGTAACAAATAAAGAATGCAAAGTGTGAAATAAATAATACACTGGAACACATAAACAGTAGGTTAGATGAAGCAGAGGATCAAATCAGTGATTTGTAAGATGAGGCAGAAAAACACTCAGGCAGAGCAGCAAAAAGGAAAAAGAATTAAAAATAAATGAGGAGCACTTTAGAAACATGTTGCACAACATGTTTCTGCATCATGGGAGTACCAAAAGGAGCAGAGAGTGACAAAGGGATTAAGAACCTATTTGAAGAAATAATTACCAATAATTTCTCTAATCTGGTGAAGGAAAAAGACATACATGTCCAGGAAACTCAGAGTCCCAAACAAGTTGGACCAAAGAAGCCTACACTGGGATATATTGTAATTAAAATGAAAATGAACCATATGCCAACAAAGTGGACAACCTGGATGAAACAGATAAATTCCTAGACTCACACAATTTCCAAAACTATATTAGCAAGAATCAGAGAATCTGAATAGACAGATTATTACAAGTAAAATTGAAGCACTAATTAAAAAACTCTTGACAAACAAAAACCCTGGACTGGAGGGCTTCACAGGTGAATTTTACCAAACTTTCTGAGAAGAACTAAAATTCCTCAAACTATTTCATAAAATTCAAGCCAAGGGAAGGCTCCCACACTCATTTTACAAGGCCAGCATTATCCTAATTCCAAAACCAGATGAAGGCACTATGAAGAAAGAAAAGTGTAGGCCAATGTCCTTGATGAACATAGATGCTAAAAGCTCCTTTCCAAGCTTATTTTAATGTCCCACTGTAACTTGTAACCATGTGTCTAGAACTGATGAAATGATTCCATTTGGTCTCAATCAGCTCAGCAACAGAGACCATCATGCTTAGGAACTGAGTGTCACAGGTTTGAGGTAAAAGTTAAACAACTGAAGTGTTGTAGAGGGAAAACCTCACAGGCAAATTCCTCTAAAGAAACCCTGTATGCAAAGTTGAGACTTTAGGAGAGCAATAGTGAAGGAAAGTAATGACTAGACTAATAACTTATGCACATGATTAAAACACTCAATGTACTGCAGTAGCAAGCTTTCTTTGAGGATGAGTTTGAATATAATGTGCCAGAGGCTCCCCCTGAGTGTCCTGTCTGCTCTCTCTGTGCTGCCATAAAAGGGCAGACTTGGACACAACATGTCACCTCACCTCTGTAGCTCTGCAGAAGTCCTTTCACCCAGAGGCTTCCAAGTGTTTTCACACATGTGAATTAACCAGCCTCCTCATCATTTCTCTCCCCAGAGATGGTTCCTTTTGGTAGCACAGACATTTACCAACATGGCTACTCAGGGTCCCCTGAGAGGTCTTTGTGGAACGTGCAAACGGATGTTCCAAGTGTCAAAGTACCTTGTAGCCTCACTGCGGATCCCAACTCGTTGCCTCCTTTGGCAAGTACCTCTGGAGGGATGAATCAGCTTCTTTAATCTCTACAGCAAGGCCCCTACCAGATGGCTTTTCCTCAGGCTCACCAAACGCCCACACACCTGGAAACCCACTTTGAGCCTTTCTCCTTCCTGTCTTATCTGCCCCAGAAGCTGAGTGAGGACAGACATGAATTTTTAAAGATACTCTATGACTCACTTTCATTAAATAAAGAGTTGACTATATTTTCTTTTGTTCCCCCAAACTCTCCTATTAATCCAGTGACCAAATGTTTATTAAACATTTACTTCATTGCCACTCACTGTGCTGGACACAAGGACCACTACAGTCATGCCTCTCCCCTCACGGGAAGGACAGACAGAGACAGGAATCAAGTGCCCTGTGGTTAGGGCTGAGAAGATGATAAACGTGATGGGCTGGGGGAGGCGGTAGGAGCGGTGGGTCAGGGAAGCCCTCTCCAAGCAGGTGGTATTTGAACTGGGACCTGGAGCGTGAGAATAAGCCAGATTTTTCATTTCTTTTCTTTTCTTTTTGTATCTTACAGATCATCATTTTTTAATATTTTTATTGATTATGCTATTACAGTTTTCCCAATTTTTCCCCCTCCATCCCCCCTCCACCCTGCCCCCAACCCTCCAGCATTCCCCTCCCTTAGTTCATGTTTATAGGTTGTACATATAAGTTCTTTGAGTCCTCTGTTTCCCATACCATTTTTTATCTCTCCTTGTCTACCTTATGCCTACTAACCATTCTTCTTCTCTGTACCTTTCCCCTCCATTCCTCCCTTCCCCCTCTCTACTGAAATCCCTCCATGTGATGTCCATTTCTTTGATTCTGCTCCTGTTCTAGTTGTTTGCTTAGTTTTTGTTTTTGTTGGTTTTCTTTTCTTTTAGGTTCAATTGTTGATAACTGTGAGCTTGTTGTCATTTTACTTATTCTTAGATAAGTCCCTTTCATAATTCATATAATAATGGCTTGGTGATAATGAATTCCTTTAATTTGACTTAATCTGGGAAGCACTTTGTCTGCCCTCCCATTCTAAATGAAAGCTTTGCTGGACAGAGTAATCTTGGATGTAGGTCCTTGCTTTCATGACTTGTAATACTTCTTTCCAGCCCCTTCTTGCCTGCAAGATTTCTCTTGAGAAATCAGCTGATTGTCTAATGGAAACTCCTTTGTAGGTAATTCTCTCCTTTCCTCTTAATTCTTTTAGGATTCTTTCTTTATATTTAATCTTGGGTAACTCAATGATGACGTGTCTTGGTGTGTTCCTCTTTGAGTCCAACTTCTTTGAAACTCTGGGCTTCCTGGACTTCCTGGAAGTCTATTTCCTTCACCAGATTGGGGAAATTTTCCTTCATTATTTGTTCAAATAACTTTTCAATTTCTTGGTCTTCTTCTTCTCCTTCTGGCACCCCATAATTCAGATATTGGAACATTTCAGGTTGTCCCAGAGCTTTGTAAGAGTCTCTTTACTTTTTTGAATCCTTGTTTCTTCATTTTGATGGATATTTATTTTTTCCTTTTGTTCCAAATCATTGCTTTGAGTCCTGGTTTCCTTCCTGTTACTGTTGGTTCCCTGAACATTCTGCTTTATTTCACTTTGGGTATCCTTCATTTGTTTTTTTTCATTTTTCAATGAAGCTCAGTCAGATCTATGAGCATTTTGATTTACCAGGGCTTTAAATTCTCCATCACATAGGCTGGTGATCTCCTCCTCACTTAGTTCTCTTTCTAAGGCTTTACTCTGTTCTTTCATTTGGGCCATATTTCTTTGTCTTGGCACAGGTGATAGGTTGTAAGGGGGTGGGGCCTTAGGTATTCACCAGGGCAGGGCAGCCCTCCTTGCTGCACTGCCTGTGGGGGAAGGGCCAGAGAAGGAACAGTGCAGATGGCCTGCTCATTACTAGCACACTTTTCAATGGACTGTGTGAGATTGGGAGCTTCTCCTATCACTGCAATCGCTGTAGCCCACAGCCACCTCTGAGTCTCCTTCAGTCAACTCCTCCCCAGCCCACGGAGCTTGGCAGCCAGCCCTGCCCCACAAGGTCGGCTGCGTTGCACCCGTATTTCTAAGTTGGCCCACACTGTCCACTGCCTTACTGGTCTGGTTGTTCTGGTTGATTTTTTCTTTAATTCCTTTGTTGGTGGAGTTCCACGCACTTTTGATTTTCTGGCACTTTTGGTTGTTTATTGACTTTAGGTTGGTTGTTATCCTCCTTTTGGTTGTGCAAGGAAGCAAAGGGTATCTATCTATACCTCCATCTTGGCTGGAACTAGATTATAATTTCTAATAAAGAAAATATCAATCCTTAATATCCCACATTGTAAAAAAAAACTTTCCTGGGACCCTTTTATTTTTTCCCCAATGTCAAACTGTCATGAAACCAAAAGGTGAGAAAACCACTGTAGTTTATCTCCAGATGTTACTGGTCCACTTCCTGCTCTGACCTCATAAGGCCCCACCGTGATGGGTCACCAACCACCCCTATATAAGCTCCTGGCTGGCGGAGGCCTTTGTCCGTTAGAGCCCAGGAAGCTGTGTGAGGTGACCTGTTGGACGTGGACAAACTTCCTCCCTTTCTTGTTTTTGTTTATTTCTATTTTTCTTTTCTTTTTTTGTTTTTTTCTTTTCTTTTCTTTTTTGTTTTTTTCTTTTTCTTCTCTTTTTTGTTTTTTTTTGCTTTGTTTATTTTCTCTTTTATTTCCTTTTACTTTTTGATTGTTATTTGTATATTTTGTTTATATACTATTTTTATATTAATTTATATCTTTATTTTATACTTTATATATTATTTTATTATGATTTAATACTATTTTTATATTAATTTATATCTTTATTTTATACTTTATATATTATTTTATTATTATATTTATTTTATTACTATTTAATACTATTTTTATATTAACATATCTTTATTTTATACTACATATTATTTAATTATTATATTTATTTAATACTATTAATACTATTTTATATTAATTTGTATCTTTATTTTATACTTTATATATTTTTTATTATATTTATTTTATTATAGTACTATTTAATACTATTTTTTATATTCATATAAATATATTTTGTTTATATATTTATAATTATTTATATATTGTTTCTGTATTTATTATAAGTTTAATATTTTTTCAAATTTTATATTTAAAATTTATTGTATTTTATTTTTTATATTTTACTTTTTGTATTTTATTTTGATTTAATTTTTATTATTTTATCTCAATTTTAATTTTTTTAATTATTTTATTTTATTTTATTTTATTTTATTTTATTTTATTTTATTTTATTTTATTTTATTTTGTTTCTATTTTGAAGTCACCATGGCTAATCACTTTGCAGCCACCTTTGGCAATAAGACGTGCCTCATTGGTGATTATATACCTCTTAAATCAATTGGCAAGGGATCCTTTGCGGAGATTAAACTGGCCCGGCACTGGCTCACAGGGACTCAGGTGGCTGTGAAAAGCGTTAGCAAGCGGGGCTTGACTAGACGCTTTGAGGAAGTGAAATCTCTTAAGACCTTACGTCATCCGAATATAACCACACTATTTGAGGTGATCACCACCCAGAATAAACACATTCTTTTTATGGAATGTGCAAGTGGAGGTGACCTCTACGATCACCTGGAGGAGTGCGGCCGCAAAACTGAGCATGAAGCCAGGCCCATGTTCAGGCAAATGATTTCAGCCCTTCACTACTGTCATCGCAAAGGCATCGTTCATCGTGATTTGAAGCCAGAAAACATCCTTCTAGATGAGGAACTCAATGTAAAGGTGGCTGACTTTGGTTTCAGTAGAGACTTTACCAATTATAAACTGACAACTGTCTGTGGCACCTTCGCCTACATGGCGCCAGAGATTTTAGAGTATCAAAAGTACGATGGCCCCAAGGCAGATGTCTGGAGTCTGGGGGTCATCCTCTATCGCATGGTGACGGGGGATGAGCTGTTTGTGGGGGACACGGCTGGAGAAGTAACAAAAGAAATACACAGTAAAAAGCTGCATCTACCAGATTTTACATCATGGGAAGTTCAAGACCTGTTACAAAAAATGTTGACTATTGACCCCGGCCAGAGACCCACCCTAGATGACATCATGAAAGACACATGGGTGAACATGGGTGAGGACGAGGAAATGAGGCCCTACAGTGAGCCACCCTGGGGGGACATTGACCCCCAGGTGGCCACAATAATGAAGGGCATGGGCTTCAAGAAGCGAGAAATACGGGAGTCATTGACACAAAAGAAATACGACAGGGTCATGGGAACGTACCTGATCCTCAGGATGAAGACAACCAAGATGCAGGGCCGCATCATAAAGGTAAGGCCCTGCCCCTCCTCTGACCCCAGCACCAGCACTTCCTGCAGCGAAGAGGCTGAGACTCCCATTCCTTCAAAGAGCCCTGCACCCAGCCTGGACTCAAGTTCTAGACCTTCCCCAGGCAGCATGGAAGCCGGGAAGAAAGAACCCCCACCCAGAGTGGAAGTGAGGATGTCCCCCTCTCCAGCACCCAGATTGCACTCCAGCTCCTCCTCATCCACCTGCTTCTCAGGAGAGACAGTGCCCACCACCCCACCCACCCTAGATGCAAGGTCCACGAATCTCCTACCCAGCCCAGTCCTCCAGCGTGGCCCTGGGGGCTCCCCCACCACCCACAGCAGAAGAAGTAGCAGGTCCTGCCAACAAACTTCAGAGCTGGGTGGTGGGACCCTCGGCTCTCCTTCTGGTTCCCACCACGGCCGACAGGGGGTGGCTCGAAGAGTCCTCAGGTTTTTGTTAAAATGTCTCTGCTGTAGGCCATCCACAAACAAAAATAGAATTATGCCGCTATAATGCATAAAAATTGTGGACAGCGTACAGCAGATACATTTTAAGAAGAACCTGAGGACTCTGGAGCCCAACCAGGGGCCTGGTCAGGCATGTGCTCTGAGAGGGAATCCAACCAGGGACCCTGTGGCTTGCAAGACAACACCCACCCATTGAGCCACACCAGCGGGGCTGCACCCCCTGCATTTTAAATGCTGAACCTGGAGGTGCTAAGCTCCAAGGAGGCCGGTCACTGGTGCGGGAGATGAGCCAGAGGCGGCACACAGACAGCTGCAGGTGAGAGCTCAGCTGGACACACACACACTGTGTGTGCAGGAGGACTGGGTCCGGCGGAAGGTGGATGTGTGCAAACCGCCACAGTGTTCCTGCACGGGATTCACAGCATCTCTGTGGCCTTCAGGAACATCTTAAGGAGGATGGCCTGGAGCCCCCTGGGAGTCAGGAAGAGAGGCCGCCCTCCTTGCAGGTCCACCCCTCCACCCCCACCTAATGAAACCTCAGACTGGACTGTTTTTCCTGGGACCCTTCTCCCCTCCCCTGCTCTACTTTGCTCCCATGTTTGTGGGGATTCTTATTAAAGAACTTGTTTTTTCCAAATGTTGTAATCAACTTCATGCTCCAGAAAGATGTATTGGACACTGTTTTTATCCTCTCTGCACAGAATGGGGGCAGGGCATCCTGTAGTCAGAGAAGCATGTAGGGGTGCAGTACTTGGGCTCTATTAGGGGAACTCCCAACAGTAACAGAAGCGGTTTTCTGGGGAAAAGGCCAGCACCCAACATGCTGGGCCTGTCCAGACACCAGGGCACAGCAGGGGTGAAGCAGGCAGTCTCTATGGTCACACAGCCCATAGCCTGGCTGCTCTGTGACATTAGCAGGAACCCCCTCTCCTGACCTCTTGGCTTTGCTGTTTCCCTCTGGGCTGCTGTCAGTCTCAGGGGGCCTGTCCCTCCATACAAGTCAGACGTGTAAAGCTCTGGAGGAAGAGCCCTCCAGGCAGAGGGAACAGCCAAGCCCCAGGCAGCCCAAGCTGAGTGAGCTGGAGTGAGAGCAGCAGGAGGTGGGGCTGCAGACAAAGGACAGAGCTCCTGGGCCACGGGAAGGGTGTGGGTTTGACTCTGAGAACAACGATCAACCCAGGAAGGGTTTTAAGCAAGGAAGTAATGTGATCCAATTTAAGTTTTAAAACTAGTAAATTATAGAGAATATTCTTCCTCTGCAAATGTTTTTATCTATACATACGTGTTATATATTCACCAGGCAGGGCAGGTGTTCTTATAGCCACTGAAGAAATGTGAGTTAGAAACTTCATGTGTGTTTTCACTTTAATCCTTCTCACCCCAGTTCCCTGAACAGGTAGACATGCAAGTCAATACATTGTTTTAAACGGGAAAGACCCACCTGCCTTTGTGGAGCTGATTCATTGGTTCTTAGATCACCGAGTAGCTGATCTGCTCGCCCTTTGCACTGAGGAACCTGCCGGGTTCCTTTCATTCACCTGTCCTCCTGCCCTGTGATCTGAGCAGCGCATCACTTGGTGTCGTCATTAAGTGGTCCCTTCCCCTCCTCGCCCTGATCTTCCCTTCCTGAGTTCTTGGGGGCTGGGAACTGTCTTACTCACCTTTGTATCCCAGTCATTACCCCAGAGCCAGGTCCAGAGTAGGTGCTCAGAAAAGGATGGACAGGTGAACCATCCACCTGCTGACTCTACAGTGGATTGTCCCAAGTCAGGACACGTTGGAGTGGAAAAGGGAATGTGATGACAAGGATCATGCAGGGCCGAGAGAGTGAAGTTGGATGGGAGGGACTGGGATGCACAGTCAGTCACCTGGGTGATCCCTGTGAAGCATCATGAACAGAACGGTGAGCGCTGCAGCTCTGGAGTCTTTGGAGGTGCTCGTACTCACTCATTCGCCCGCACTGGCTTAGACCAAAGGTCCCCAAAGCCTGGGAGACATAATAGCATCAGAACCTTTGTATAAGAAATGGTATTTGCTGGAATTTAATATTATGTCCCTTATATTTATTTTATGCTTTCCTTTTCTTCATGACAAATTATGATCATTGCCCAGGTAAGACTGGGATATAGAATTTCATTTTCAATTAATCTCTTGAAGTAATGAGCGATTTAAAATACATATGATGAAGGTCATACACAGATTTTGGCAAAAAAGCAGGAAGTTGTACAAATGAGTGAAGTTTGGGAAACTAGATCAGATGATTTTCCAGCCTTGCTTCTGAGCCCACCTTGTGGGTCCACATTTCAAAAAAAATTAATATGTCCCTGGCTGGTGTGGCTCAGTAGATTGAGTGTGGGCCTGAAAATCAAAGGGTTACAGATTGGATTCCCAGTCAAGGGTGCATTTCTGGGTTGCAGGCCAGGTCCCCAGCAGGGGGCGCAGCAGAGGCAACTGGATATTGATGTTTCCCTCTCTTTCTCCTGTCCCCTCTCTAAAAATAAATAAATAAAATCTTTAAAAATATTCATATAAAATTATAAAGATTATACATGCTTATTTTTAGAACATGACTAGAAAATGTATATCAGGGAAAAACACATTTAATATGTGAGTTCTTTTTTCTTGCTAGGTATTCAGAAACACAATTTGGCATCTCAAAATGCTGATACATACAAAACTTTCAATTTACGTAAAAGAAATAAAAGTGATATGGTTTTGTTTACAGGAAACTACTAACAATAGAATGACTAAGTATTAAACCTTTCTTTGTGCACTAAAAGTTACTCAAAATTTATGCACATTTAATATTTAGCTCCATACTAATCCAGCAATTTAAGACTCATCTTCATTAAGTAAAATTTCATACAATTTCAATCAGTTATAATGACACGAGTGAAGCTTCCTTTTGGAAACTGTGCATTTAAATCCCTGCTTTTCCTTCTTGCCAGAGACTCACACTTGCCAGCTCCTTGCACACTTTCTGCTGTGGAAGAATAAAAACGTGGCCGATTGAGCTGTGTTCTAATTTTCAGTGAGAGGAAACGGTTTTGGCTCTATTGCCCTACTGAGCCAGCAGGTGTAGGAAGATAATGATCTATTTAAAAATGGCACAGGTGCTGAAAATGTCTCTTTAGTTTTTCCAAAGCAGAATGTCAACACGGCATAACATCATTACCTTAATGACAAAGAGGCAAGATGGCTGGAAGACAGCAAGGGCAGTAGCAGCGGCGAGAACACCCGCTCCACACCCAGACGGCCACCTGCTGCTCCCCGCCGGCTGCCCACCCTTCCCGCGCCCTGAGGAGCCCCCGTCGGGAGGCCGACTGCACCCGCACTGAGTTCTGACTCACAGGGCAGGAGAGGTGGGGGCACACGATCTCACTAGAGCGCTCTGTCGGGAAAGGTAATGAGGCCAAGGGGGGATCCCACGCTCTTGAAACAAGCTGCGGTCCGTTCCCTCAGCTCCACTGACCCGAATACCAACCACTGAAAAGACTTGTCTCCCCCAAGACTAGGGTTCCGTGAGGTCAGCTGTATTCTCTGTGCCTCAGCCAGTGCTCAGTTCTTAGAAGACTCTTTAATGTTGCTGAATGAATGAGCCACTAGCTCCACAGCTACTATTTCTAAACAAGACAGAGGTATTCGGTGCTGTGATTTACTACACCAATCCAGAAGTGTGTTATCTGTCTCGTCTCACTGAGGACCAGGGCTCAGGAATGTTAAGTAACCTGTCAGGCTCACACAGTGATGGGACTAGGATTCAACTCTAGATCTAATGTCTGAGGCCAACGCCTCAGTATTTTCTACTGCAGGTAAAACTGTTCTATGACTTCAAAAGGGCTTTGTATATTAAAAATGAAAACAGCAATAGTGCAGATTCAGATTCCTTTATTTTGAATAAACACCTGTATTTTTATTACAGTTGACACTCAATATTATATTGTGTTTGTTTCAGGTGCACAGCACGGTGGTCAGCCATTCACTTCACCACGTGCTCCCCGTTTCCTGTACCCGTCAAGCTCACTTTACGAGGTCAGCATTATCCTAATTCCAAAACCAGATAAAGACACTACAAAAAAATACATTATAGGCTAATATCGCTGATGAATATAGATGCTAAAATCCTGAACAAATATTAGCAAACCAAATCCAGCAATACATCAAAAAGATCATACACCATGATCAAGTAGGATTTATTCTGGGAATGCAAGGTCAATGTAACATTTGCAAATCAATAAATGTGATTCACCACATAAACAAAATGAAGGACAAAAATGACATGATCATATTGATAGATGCAGAAAAACTTTTGATAAAAGCATGCACCTGTTTATGATAAAAACTCTCAACTTAGTGGAATTAGAGGGAACATACCTAAACATAATAAAGGCCATATATGAGAAACCCACTGCTGCCATCATACTCAATGGGCAAAAACTACAAGCGTTTCCCTGAAGATCAGGAACAAGACAGGGATATCTGCTTTCATCACTCTTATTCAACATAGTTCTGTAAGTCCTAGCCACAGCAAGAGGAGAAGAAAAGGAAATAAAAAGCATCCAAATTAACAATAAAATACCCAAACGCAATCTATAGATTCAATGCAATTCCTATCAAGATGCCAATGATATATTTCACAGAACTAATATATTTCAAAAATTTATATGGAACCACAAAATGCCCTGCATGGCAACAGCAATCCTGAGAAAGTAGAACAAAGTTGGAGGAATCACACTACCTAAGATCAAACTATACTACAAGGCCATAGTAACCAAAACAGTATGGTAGCAGCATAAAAATAGACAAATAGATCAATGGAATAGGACAGAGAGCCCAGAAATAAACCCATACTTCATAGTCAATTAATATCCAACAGAGGAAGCAAACACATACACTGGGCTAAAGGTAGTTTATTCAATAAATGGTGCTGGGAAAATTGGACAGATACGTGCAGAAAAATTAAACTAGACCACATTCTTACATCACACCCAAGAATAAATTCAAAATAGGTCAAAGACTTAACTGTTAGACCCCACACCATAAACA